CAGATCTTTCTGAAGCTGGAGTCATAGGCAGTTATGAGTTACCCACTATGGGTAATGGGAACCAAATTGGGATCCTGTGCAAGAGCAGTCTGTTCTCTTAACTGCTGGGCGATCTCTCCTGCCCCTTGCTTGTTTATTTAAAGGTGGGGTCTCATTGTATAGCCCAAGCTTCCCTGCAACTCATGGTAGCCCGGGTTGCCCTGGCACTCTTCGTTTTGTTTTGTTTTTTGAGACAAGGTTTCTCTGTGTAACAACAGCGCTAGCTGGTCTGGAACTTGCTTTGTAGACCAGGTTATCCTGGAACTCACAGCAATCCGCCTGCCTGCCTCCTGAGTGCTGGGATTAAAGTTGTGTGCCACCATGCTTGGCTTTGTCTTGGCACTCTTGACAGTTGTCTTACCTCAGCCTCCCAAGCTACTGGCATTCCAGGTGTGAGACATCACCGATTCTTAACCACCCTGACATACATACGTTGCTGAATTGTTTCAAAGAGGTCTTCTCAATTTATATTCCTACCAGCAGTATATACAAATAATTATTTTCATTCAAACAATTTTTTGCCAATATGATAAGCAGGATATTAATTGTTTTTATTTCTTTGATTAGTTGTAAAGTTGATCTTTTCGTATTTTTTTGGCCTTTGTTATGTCTTATCAACTCCCCCCACCTCCATTTTCTGGTGCCATGGATTGAATCCAGGGCCTTGGACTTGCTAAGCAAGTACTCTACCACTAACCTACACTTCCTTGCCTACATCTTTGCCTATTTAAACATGGTTTTGGGTTTCTCTTCTCATATGTGAACTCTTTATGGAGCTGTAGTTTGAGACAAATAATGTCCTTCAGCAAATTGTTTACTCGTTAGCAATTTGTTCATGTATTTTTTAAATTTTCCCTTCCTTCCTTCCTTCCTTCCTTCCTTCCTTCCTTCCTTCCTTCCTTCCCTCCCTCCCTCCCTCCCTCCCTCCCTCCTCTCTCTCTCTCTCTCTCTCTCTCTCTCTCTCTCTCTCTCTCTCTCTCTCTCTCTCTCTCGACAGGGTTTTGCTATGTAGCTTAGGCTGGTCTTGGACCTAAGATCCTCCTGTCACAGCCTCTCGTGCTGAGATTACAAGTATGTTCTACCACACAATTTATATATTTCTGGCATACAGATATTTTATGGTTTTAGAGTAAGACTGATTATCTGTGGCACTTAAAAAAAATTCTTATGGGGCTGGAGAAATGGCTCAGCAGTTAAGAGCGCTAGCTGCTCTTCTAGAGGTCCTGAGTTCAATTCCCAGCAACCACATGGTGGCTTACCACCATCGGTAATGAGATCTGACGCCCTCTTATGGCTTGCAGGCATGCAAGTAGAACACAGTATACTTAATACATAAATAAATAAAAAAATTCTTATTATCTGAGTTTGATGATGTGTGGTGCCTATAAGCATAACATTTGGGAGGCAGAGGCTGTGGGGCCTATTCAAGGTCATCCCTATCTGCAAGGCTAGTTCAAGGCCAGCCTGGGCTATATGAAACCCTGTCTCAGATTCCCACTTCCCCCTAAAACATTGTGATTTATGTCAGTTTATGGTTTGAGGTGGAGCTTTAATTTAAAATTTTCTCAAATACATTGAATAATTAGTCATTTTCAGAGCCAGCTGTGATGGCACACATGTAATCCCAGCACTGAGGAGGCTGAGTCAAAAGAATAGAGAGTTGGAGGACAGCCTGGGCTAGAGAGTGAGATCCTGTTATTTTTATTTTTATTTTTTTGATGTACATATGTGCATGCACAAGTGCACACATATGGAGTCCAGAGGTCAATGTTAGGGTTTTTAAAATTTTAATTTAATTAATTTTATGTGTATTATTTCATTAATGTGTATATGCATGTGCATGAGTATGTATCTCTGTATCATATGTGTGCAGGAACCCTTGGAAGTCAGAAGAGACATTGGATCCCTTGAACTGGACTTGTAGATGGTTGTGAGCTACCCTGTCCGTGCTCTGTAGGATCTGTAGGAGCTGTAAGCGCTCTTCTACAACCAGCCATCTCTCCAACCCCCCAGTGTTAGGTGTCTTTTATCTCTCTCTACATTAGTTTTTGCAACAGGGTCTCTCATTAAAACTGGAGCTTAGTGATTGGCTAACTCGGCTGGTCAGCAGGCTCTGGGGGTCCTCCTATTTCCACAAACCCCATCCCCCAGTGCTGGGGATACAGTCATATGTGCTGTTATACCTGTAGGGATTTTTATGTGGGTGCTGGGGATTTGAATTTAGGTACTCATGCTTATACGGCAAGCACTACCCACTGAGCTACCCAAGCCACAGAAATAGTTCCCCGTTACTTCCTAATCTGCATGGGATTTTTCTCGATGAACTTTAATTACATTTATTTATTTGTGGGCATGTGTGCCATGGACACAGCTTTCAGGAATTGGTTCTCTTCTCCATCATATGGGTCCCAGGGATCAAACTTGGGTTGTCAGGTTTGGTGGTTTGGAGCCTTTACTGGCTGAGCCATTTCAGCTCTCATTGTGAGCTTTACATTGTGGTGATGTGTTCCCCAAAATATTGTGCACCCTAATAAACTTATCTGGGGTCAGAGAACAGAACAGCCACTAGATACAAAGGCTGGAAAATGGTGGCACACACACACACACACACACACACACACACACACACACACACACACACGCCTTTAATCCTAGCATTGCAGAGGCAGAGATCCACCTGGATCTCTGTGAGTTCAAGGCCACCCTGGAAACAGCCAGGCGTGGTAACAACAGCCTTTAATCCTAGGAAGTGATGGCAGGAAGCAGAAAGGTATTTAAGGCCTGAGGACGAGGAACTAGAGCCTGGTTAAGCTTTTAGGCTTTTGAGCAGCAGTTCAGCTGAGATCCATTTGGATGAGGACTCAGAGGCTTCCAGTCTGAGGAAACAGGATCAGCTGAGGAAATGGCGAGGTGAGGAAGCTGTGGCTTGTTCTGCTTCTCTGATCTTCCAGCATTCACCCCAATACCTGGCTCCCGGATTTGATTTTATTAATAAGAACTTTTAAGATTCATGCTACATTAAATCCTTGTATATACTTAGATCTGTTTTAATGTTTTCTAGTTCATTGATTTAAGCAAAGGAGAAGTTATTAGACAACTTGATATAATGCAAAGCTTCTTGTTCATCCAGCAGGGAGTTACTGTGCATTCATATTGTTCCTGTTCATGATTACTCATTGGCGTTTTATCCATCATGATGGGTAATAATCATCAAATCTCAAAATATAGCAAACAGCGGTTCAGGTCAATTTGTATTTTATTATACTATTCCTATTTATGAAAGAGAATAGTCCATATACTCTGCTTATGTGCCATCTAGGAAAGAAATGTCAGTTATCTGTCTAGGTGCCTTCTGTTAATAGACAGTCTTTGGCTTGTAGTGGTTCCAGAATATAAAATAGGGCTGGAGAGATGGCTCAGCTGTTAAAGGATAGGTTCACAACCAAAATTAGAAGAAAACCATAGAATCTCTGACTCACATAGATAGTTCTAATAATATAGAAGTCTAAACCCTAAAAAGAAATGTAATTGCCCTCCTTATATAAAGTTGGCCATATAGAATTGCTAATAGCCAGCTTTATGTAGTTTACTCTGATTCCTAAATAGTCATATTTACCTATTTTAAAATACCCAAACCCAACTGATAGAGGAATATTCCCTGCTCCAGTCTGTCACCCATTTCAGCCCTAAAAGAGTAAGAAATATTAAAAATAATGGGAACTGGTATGACAAGAACTCGGGCAGATCAACTTATAACAATGCCAGTGCTATAGTACCATGTTATATGAGTGTGAATTCCTCTTTTAGAGCCCGTAGTAACCTTCCTGGCAACATTTGACACAGTGCCTTCATGTGACAGTTCAAACCCTAGTAGATATGGGAAGGATTTTGAGAGAATCAGATGATTAACACCAGTTTGGAATGCCAGGTTTCCTTATGTCTCTCTTGTCTTTGAAAGGTCTTTTTACCTCCCCATTTCTATTAAGCAGAAAGGCAGAAAGTTTAGGATGTTTAGTACTAATCCTAAATGTTTGATGAAATCTCACCTCAGCCCCTTAAAAGAGATAGATGAGGAAAGTTTTTCATCAAAGTCATTTCTGCCATTCACCTCAGGAGGAAACCAGTGAAGTATCAGAATTAAAATTTCACACAGTGTTGTAATCCAAAGAGTTATATGACAGCACTGCTGCATGCTATGTTATATGTTTATTTGTGTCTTATCTGATTCTCTGTATATTTAGTTGCTGTGTAAGACAGCACTTTGTCTTTTGTTTTTGCCTGCTAGGGATGGAACCCAGGGCTTTGCCCATACTAAGCATATACTCTGTGTCTTTTCTGCCTGAGACTCTTTGTTGCTATATCTGTAGTGCTTGGAACAGTATGTGGACATGATCATTCAATAAGTTTTTGGCAAATGAAGAAACAAGTAAATACTAGTTTTTGAAATAATGGCTATTTCCTGGCTTAGTCTATAAAGGTCTGTTTAACTCACTATATTATATATATGTGAAAAATGTTAACTTAGTTCAGAATTTCTGGTCCTTCTGGGAGATGTGTTCAGATCCCTTCTGGTATTTGAGTTCAAGGCTAAGACAAGATGTGCTTAAAGCTCTTCTGGGGTTCAGACAGACAGCAGTTGATAGGCTAGATAGACTCTGGAGGGAGGAGCTCCATCACCTTCCATGCTGACTGCAAATTCTGTAGCAACTGGCCTTTGTGATGGACTCCCTTTGTTTCTGTGAGGGTTTTGTATCTTTGGTATTTGGGGCAGGGATTGCCTTTATGTTTTCCAATAAAAAGTTTGTATCTAATTCAACATAACTTCTAAAATGTTCTGTTAGGAAATGATTATCAAAAGAAGAAGAGAAAGTGTATGAACAGGCAATAAATGCTGGGCTGTAAGACTAATCTTGAGAGAGTTCTGAGTGGTGCATATCATGTTCCTCTGCCCTCTTTTCTAGGATCTTCCCTCTTGAAGAATGGCGGCAGCTTATCAGAGGCTGAGTTTTTATGCCTCTTCTCTGAAAAGGCAGCTCATTTGTGGGCCACCTGTCATCCAATGGGAAAGAAGAATAATTCCAGGGTGTGCCAGAAGTATTTACAGTGCTACAGGGAAGTGGACGAAGGAGTACACACTGCAGACAAGAAAGGATGTTGAGAAATGGTGGCATCAACAGATAAAAGAGCAGGCGTCCAGAATTTCAGAAGAAGACGTGAGTGTTCTGAGAGGGCTGATATATCAGTTACTTTCCTTGTTGCTGTTGCCAAACATCTGACAAGATGTAACTTATGGGAGGAAGAGTTTGTTGTGGTTTACAGTTTGAGGGAATAAAGTCCATCATGGCATGTCAGGGAAGGCATGGCAGTCTGGCAGGAATGTGAGGTGGCTGGTCACATTGCTTCCATATGTTAGGAAGCAGAGAATAGACTGGAAGTAGGGCTGGGCTTTAGAACCTCAAGGCTCACCTTCAGAGAACCATTTCCTACCTCCTAAACTTCCACAACTTTCCAAAATGGTACCACCAGCTGGAGACCAAGTGTGCAGACACGTGGTCCTATGGGGGACATTGCACATTCAAACCATATCAATAGAGAAGAGGAACTAAGGACTTGGACTCTGGACTCACACTGCTTGGTATAGAATAAGTTATTAAGTGTAACACGAATTGCTAAACGATCTTATTAATAATAATAATAATAATAATAATAATAATAATAATAATAAACAAAACAAAACCCAGAGCCAGATATTGGGGTGAAAGCTGAAAGATCAGAGAAACAGAACAAGCCAGCCACGTTCTTACCTCTATGAAATTCTCAGCCTCAAAAGAGAGACTTCCTGTTTACTCACGCCTTGTATACCTTTCTGTGCCCTGCCATCTTCCTTCCTTCCTAGTGCTGGATTAAAGGTGTGTGCCACCACACCTGGCTCTGTTCCCAGTGTGGCCTTGAACTCACAGAGATCCAGATGGATCTCTGCCTCCCAAATACTAGGATTAAAGTCATGTGTTACCACTGCCTGACTGCTATGTTTAATATAGTAGCTAACTTTGTCCTCTGATACCCAGGCAAGTTTTATTGGAGTACACAATATATCACCACATTTCCCCCCTTTTTTTGGTCTAAAATAATAAAAGAAGGTTATAACTAATATAAGAAAAACTATATACAATAAGTACAATAACTATATATAATGTATACAGTCAAGAATTACATCAACAATGTCCAGTCCATTTGCATTTGACAAATTCAGTGAAAATACTCCATTATGTATCCTATTTTGGTGAGTCCAAAATGTACCTAATTCACTTTCTATCATAACTTGTATTACCAACCCAAAACTATCTTTTGGTGTCTTTCAAACTTATACACTTTACACCTCTTTAGTGAGTTTCTGTTCTGAATTTGTTAACAAGGAAAACTATAACTATCTAATCTTCAACTATCTCAGAGATCTGAGAAAGAAATAATATTGACTGAGTAAGCAGGAAGTACAAACAAGCAACTTCCAAAAAATGTGAGAAATGACAGAAACAGCTGGCTGCCTGGACAGTCACTCAAGTTTCCTCTGCAATGTTGGGACATCCATCTTCGGCCTAAAGGCCTAGCATATCTGACAGATTCATCTGTGAAGCAGGATTTTCTAAAGGGTCTTCCTACCTTGTCTTGGCAAGAATTGGCAGTCCTTTCTTTTATGTCCTGCTTGTCCATTTTGGACAGCATACTGTCAGCAGTTGAGGTAAGGGCACTTTCTTGCCCAGTGGCTAACTTTTGTCACAATGAAAGTAAACTCCATAATGAGTTTCTTCAATGCCCATCAACTTCTCTGAAGTAGATTGGTGCTGCCAGGAGCAGACATGTCTCATTGTCATAAAAAAAGAAAAAAAAATCTATGTTATTAAAACATCTTAAATGCCATATTCTGTAGATCTCTGAAGTATTTGAAGATGACCTATCTAAAATATATTTCTGTTTGACCTTGAAAACATACCTAATATGATTACAAGTTCGATTGTAATGACTAACTACTAACCTGCATTTAATTAGTAATAACTTTCAAGGACTAGAAAATTGCATTACATTGTTAAATGAACTGTATAGGTACAATACCTTGAACAGAATTAGAAATATATGTATAGTATTTTCTAACAAAATCAATCTCAAATTTATATCAATATACATAATTTATATACAATATACAAAAATCCAATCCAATTTAAAACTAGTAGTTATCTTTTAAAAGTAGATTCAATAATCTACTTTTTTATCTTATCATATCTGTATCCTCTCTTTTTTCTTTTTAGAGTAGATTTAATAATCTACCCTTTTATCCTATTATTTCTATATCTTTATTTTTAAAGAATAGATTCAATAATCTACCTTTTATCTATATCCTCTTTTCCATGTTTCTTCAAACAAGAACACCGAATCTAATCACTTTGTTTAGCTTTTTTTCCCTGACCATTATCAATTAACAATTTGTAACAACCATCCTAAACAATGACAATTATCCATAACCCATTGAATGACAAAAAAACCACCTACCCCACCTCTTGGGAATGTGGGCGTCATGTTCTTAAAATTACTTCCTGCTGTCTGGGGGGTGAAGGCATCTTTAGGGGATCCCGAAAAGAAAAATTTTGGGTTAATTGTCAAGTCCTAGGAGAGGTAGTGGTATCATTTGTTGTCCAGTCTCTGCATAATGCAAAAGTGAAGGGATTGTCTGAAGTCCTTGCTCGAGTAGTCTGTGAGGCTGGATCTTCTCAGCTAGCCATCTCAAAACTATCCTGAGTAGTTTGTAGTCCAAAGACGATCTTTGGGTGGTGTTTACCATCTTAGTGGTGTTATCATCGTCCTGATGGAATCGTCATTGTGGGGCCCCATCATCTTTTTAGAGACTTCAAAGTCTCTGTTAGCCATGGTCATGGTTCACTGCAGAAAACTGATAGAGACTCAAACACAAAATCATGTACAGGAAGCTAGATAAAGCCTTTTTTCTAGGATTAGTTAATATGCTATATGACCACTAATATTATGACAAAAGTTATATATATATATATCTCTTATAAATTCTGATATAAAATTCATACCTTAAGAAAAGTTTTAGCTGGGTGGTGGTGGTGCACACCTTTAATCCCAGCACTCAGTGAGGCAGAGCCAGGTGGATCTATGTGAGTTTGAGGCCAGGCTGGGCTACAGAGTGAGTTCCAGGAAAGGCGCAAAGCTACACAGAGAAACCCTGTCTCGAAAAACCAAAAAAAAAAAAAAAAGAAAAGTTTTAAAGAGTCAAAATAAAACCAAATACTTATGAGATTAGTGGCAATGGAAAGCCCCTTAATTTTGGGTTTTCTTCTGTCCCATGTCAGGTGGCTCTTCTGACATGATACAGAGATTTTGCATTTTCTTTTAACAAGCATGCTTGGGTTTAGAGAAGGAGAGAGCCACACTCCAACTCCAAAGCCAGCTTTAATTTTTAATTGAACTGGGACTACAAAAAGACCATTTGTGTTAAGTGTCTGTAGAGAAGAGCAGAAACAAACATTTAGGAAGACTTATGAAATTTTGTAGATGATATACCAATAGGCCAATTTACTCTTTTTCTTGGGACATTTTTTTCTGGATGATTTGTCCTTTTTCTCCAGATGTCTCATTTGTCCAGTGTTCTTCAGATTCCTTAGCCTTCATTCTCCTGAAAGACAAAAAGCAAAAACCTTTCCCCAGCCCTAACTTTGGGGAGGTTCCCTTTTGGCAAGTTATATCTGATTAAATGAAATCCTTTTGTTAGTGGTTTAAGTTAATTTAAATTGAATGGTTATGCTGGTTGATGAATTGTCACCTCTTCTAATTAAGAGGTCTCTTGTTCAAATCGAACCTTTATCAATTTTGATGGTATTTATAGCTTTTTTTCTCCTGTAGAAACAAAATCAAGGGTTGGGAATTTAGCTTAGTGGTAGAGCGCAAGCGCAAGGCCCTGGGTTCGATCCTCAGCTAGGGGGGCTCGGGGGAAGAAACAAAAGCAAAACCTCATCCCCAGTGTAATATATATCTTGGTTTTCATTCTGAGGTCAGTGCATCTTTAAAGTATACAGGCTGATTTAATTCTGTAGTTTTTTTTCTATTATCCAATATCTCTCCACAGCTGTTGTTCCTTTCTCATTAGCACTGAGAAAATTCAGAGTTTATAGAGCATTATGTAATCTATTTCTGGGGGTTTTTGTTACCCCTTTCTGTTTATTTAGCATATCCTTTAGAGTTCGATTTGATCTTTCTATGACTGCTTGGCCTGTAGGATTGTGTGGTATATCTGTAATATGCTTTATATTGTAATAAGCAAAAAACTGTTTCATTTTACCAGAGATATAATGCTGGAGCATTGTCAGTTTTAATTTATACAGGTATACCCATGATGGCCATAACTTCTAGCAAATGTGTGATTACAGAATCAGTCTTTTTAGAATTCAGAGCAGTTGCCTATTAAAATCCTGAATAGGTATCAATGGTGTACATATTTCAATTTTCCAAATTCTACAAAATAAAACACACTCATCTGCCAGATTTCATTCCTCTCAGTACACTTTGGGTTACATCCTGCTGGTAGTAGAGTTCAGTTGTAAAAAGAACAAGTAGGCCGGGCGGTGGTGGCGCACGCCTTTAATCCCAGCACTCGAGAGGCAGAGCCAGGCGGATCTCTGTGAGTTCAAGGCCAGCCTGGGCTACCAAGTGAGTTCCAGGACAGGCGCAAAGCTACACAGAGAAACCCTATCTCGAAAAACCAAAAAAAAAAAAAAAAAAAAAAAAAGAACAAGTAGACAGAAAAGGGGAAGTACTGTGGGATGTCTTTCTGTACACTGTGAATATGTGTTGCTATGATTGCTTAATAAAGAACCTGCTCTGTCCTATTGTGAGTCAGGTTATAGCCAGGCAGGAAATCCAAGAGAGATACAGGAAGACAAAAGGCAGAGGCAGGAGAGACGCCTGCCTGCCACCCAAGGAGCAACATGCCAGCAGACTGGTAATATACCACAGCCATGTGGCAAAACATAGATTAATAGAAATGGGTTAATTTAAGATGATAGAGCTAGCTAGCAAGAAACTTAAGCCATTGGCCATACAGTTTGTCATTAATGTAAGCCTCTGAGTGATTATTTTATAAACGGCTGTGGGGCTGGGCAGGACAGGAGAAAACTTACGGCTACAATTAAGTGTGTGGCAT